TGAATCTCTAGGTCTAACTCTGTGAAAAAACATGTTTCTGGGTGTTGAACACCAATAAGCGTTGTCTATTATTTTAGCAGCAATCTTTGTTGTTAACATTGTACCTAGTGACGGATGATGGAAAAGTTCATATTTGCTGAATGACTGTGGTACATTAACATCAACACTCCGATCTCTTTTCCCCTGATGCTCATAGTGGTTGTAAATTTGGAAATTGATGCTGCTTCTGTTGTTTAATTTTTTCTTCAAAAATTTTGCATGTTATCTAGGACTATCCGTGTGCGCAATACTGCGAATCAACAAAGAATGCAGCGCTTGTACTGTCTGGTGGAGGCTAAACAACAGAGAGATCATGGGCGTGACGGAGTCGTAAGTGACAACATCACACGGCACACCTCACCAGAATCGGTGACATTGCGATGGAGGCGTGGTGGGTTCTTTCTTTTCAGTCACTGTGAGCACTTGTAACGAAGCTATTTACAGGCAAGTTTGAAAAAGACGATAAATATGATTCGGACGACCTGAAGCGCGAAGGAACTGAAACGGCACCTCTTATGAAGTCAAACATCGGATGGGATTTGGAAAGTACCCCTCCTGAGTTAACGCTGCATAATGATGACGGTAGTGCTTATCCTTTGGAAATGATTTTCAAATAAGTTCCTGGAAGGAGAGTTGAATATCATTAAAAACATTTTTGTTCGATTGACATTTCTAGATCTTCCAAACTTGTCACCTCAAGATCGTACGCAGTTGATGGCAGAAAACGAAAGGATATTTGACCGATTTTCACACGTACATGCTCAAATTGAGGGTCTCGAAACGCAGATTACTGAAATTCAGCGCCTTCATGAAGTATTCGCTGAGAAGGTGTATTTAGAATTTTGATATCAAAAGGTAGCTTTTAAACTTTTCTGTATAGGTTATGGATCAAGAAAAAGACATTGAAATCATAAATGAAGCTGCCTTACACACTTCCGAAAACCTGAAAGATGGTAATGAATGGATACGCCAGGTACTCCCTTTAATTCAATTCTGATATTAGGGTTTTTTATGTCACTAGGGCCGTATACAACATTCTCCTGCGGGAGTGGAGGCGGAGCGCGATTTTTTCCGGCTCTCACTACATATGTGTTAAGAACAAAATGAAGAACTATGTATGTGAGCTCTTTCGCTTCAAAAAAATCAACGAAGAAGTTCAAATATCTCTTAGGTATACAACAATATATG